TCCATTCATCAATATTAGGCACTTCCTCATCATTGTCTATTGGTGTCTCTGGTGTCTTTGTTTTCTTCTTCTTTCACCACCAAGCCTTGGCTCACTCTCTTTCTCCTGCCAGGCATGCCTCCCTCCTCCTCTTACCCCACCTGTAGGTGAAAATCCTCTCATCTTCTAATGTCCCAGTCAAAAGCTGCTTCCATCAAGAGGCCTTCTCAGTTCCTTCTCATTAGAGGTCATTTCTTTCCCCCAGCAAGATCAGTTGTTGGCACATTTGCCGCATTCTGCTTATCAGACAGATAGATTTTGTCCTCTGTTAGATGACAGGTCGTCCAGGATCAGAACAACATCTTACCTGCCTTTGTACCACACTGTCTTGCACTCAGTAGTCACTGTACAGGATTAACCCAGTGTGGGGATGACCAGCCCAGTCACCACCTCTCATTACATCAGAGTTAAAATTTTAAATCTATGCATAAACCTTAATAACAGAAATAAAGAAAGTTGCTGCAGGAAAGCAACTACTGAGTAAATTACTGAGTAAATTAAGGACGTTGATGAAGACAAGATCAATGTGTTCTATATCAAAGGAAAATTTATTCAACAAAATGTAATAGAACAGATACAAAAAGAAGAATGTCAGAGAGAAAGTAGGTGACAAAAACACTGATGAGAACCTGCTCTCCAATTATATGGAAATTCACCAATATTCATAACGTCATTACCCAGATTCTTTTTTTTTTTAAAGATTTTATTCATTTATTTTTAGAAAGAAGGGAGGGGAGGGAGAACAACAGGGAAAGAAACATGGATGTGGGAGAGATACATTGATCAGTTGCCTCCCACACGCCCCCAGCTGGGGACCTGGCCTGCAGCCCAGGCATATGCCCTGACCAGAATTGAACTGGCGACATTTTGTTTTGCAGGCTGGCACTTAATCCACACCAACCAGGGCCAGGTTCTTGTATAATGTAATTAAAAGGAGGTGAAAAGCTTATGTACAAGGATAAATAGATTATAAATCGCCAAGTGGAAAATGCAACTTTTTTAGTCACTGAAAAAAATGCAAATTAAAACAATTAAACTACATCATTATACACCAATTAAACATTTTTTCTAATGATAAAAAATTGATTTTGGTGAGGTTGTCAGTTTTGTTTCTCCAAAGCCAGGCTAAGAGAACAGTGAATCCATGAAGTCATTCTGAGGTACAATTTGGAAACGTGTAAAAGGAACAATCACAACTGTTCCTACATTTGAACTCATTTATTAAATTTGGGAGAATATGCATCAAAGAAGTCATCCCAAAAGGGAAAAATAATTCTGCTAATTATAGTGTTAAAAATCAATGAACTGGGTGCCTGCCGAATACTGAGCAGTCTGGGATTTTACCCTAGTGGCAAACTAACAGGTTGCCCTGTTACTGTTTCAGTGATGCTATCAGAGGGCATGAGACTTCTGGGAAAAAACTAGCTGGAGCTCCATGTTTATCTGTGCTCTCCCATATTTTCTAAGTCCCATGAGGGTTACAGAAAGGGCCTGTGACGGCCTGCACAGGCAGTGGGCCGTGTTATAGGAGGGGGACATCGAGCATAGGAGATACACAACCTCTGTAGTACATGGAAGCAAGCTTGCCTTTTGCCCATGGGAGAAGTTACCTCGTCCTTTAAGGTATCCTGCTGCAAACACAACTTAGGGAAACTACCTGTGTAATGAGCAGTCAGGGCCTGTATTCTTGGCGTGCCGTACATGCATATGTAGGGGTGCTCAGAACCCACGGCTCACCTGTCCCAGTGATGCCTCATTTATTCATTCAGCAAACCCACTCACATTTATTGAGTCACCTTCCATGTAACTGGCACAGAACTAGATGTCAGGATACAGACAGCAGTGAATAAATCCCTTGCCTGAGAAAAGCTTACATTTGAGTGAAGAAGGCAGGTAACAAGAAGGAATTAAATAAATAACTGACGCCACTCCTGTGAAGTGTTATGAAGACAAACAGAGCAGAACAATGGGATAGATAATGCAAAATGCTTTTAGATAGAGTGATGGATTGTAGAGCCAATGGTCAGTCAAGGCCTGAGATGGTGACACTGGAGCAGAGACCAGAATGAAGTGAGAGGGAAGAGAGAAGAGCACACGCCAAAGCCCTGAGAACAAAGCGTGCCCACCCTGCTCCAGGACCCAGGGGACCAGGGTGGCTGGAGTGTGGTGAGCAGGCCGAGAGTCTGAATGAGGGTAGACAGCCCAGGAAGACTTGTAATTGGGATGATATAGTATTCTAAAATGAAAAACACCACATTTTATGTAAAACAAGTTCTATAAAAGAGCTCAATGAAAATAATAAGACTGAACTCCATGAACAAATGGAGACAGGAGGCCAGAAGAGCTGAGCTTCAGCTGTCAGATACCAGTCAAGTCAACGAACCTCTTGTTTCTGCATCTGCAAATAGGAATGATGCCTAAAAAGGGTGCGCATAAGATTAAGAGAATCAAATGTGTGAAAGTGTTTTCTTGTTACAAATATTTGAGAGGCTAAAAGTGTAAAAATATGATCTACATCAAAAAGTCACAAGAGAACTGAAGCTAAGGTTTAAACCAGAAGTTCAGAATAGTAGCAATAGTCATCGCTTATCAAACACTGCTCAACTTTTATAATAACCTGCTGACAGGGGTAACTGTTTTCATTTTTAAAATGAGGAAAACTGGGCCTCAAAAAGCCTAAGTTGTTCACAGTCTTTCACCTGATAAACAGTACAATATAAAAGCTGTACCTATAAAGAGAACATACAGCAACATGAAAAGTGTTGAGAGAAATCTGCGGAAAAAAAAATTGATTTTAGGCATAAAAATGTATATGATTAGGAGCAAAGACAGGAAAATAAAAGAATGTCATGCATCTGACTGGTGCAATGTGAATGCTTTTACATTTTTATATTATTTGCTCTTGTTATAATGTTTATCCAATCAAATATGGAGAAAATTATTGTGAAACTATTTCAAAAGCCAGTCACCATTTTCAAAGGATCTCCTTTGTCATGTCAATTTGCTCAAAATCACCAAAAATATAGCTTTCTCCAAATCTTCCTCCTGGGCATTTACACCCTGCATGGTGGTCTCCTGCTGCCTTGAGCCCAGCTAGTTCACTCTCCTGAAGGTCCAGCCCTCCATTCATCTTGTCCAGAATCTACACTTCAGTGAGTATAAGGGCTTCTCTGACCACAATTTCCTTCATCTCTGTGATCCCTGAGTTGTGGGGGGCCCCGTCCTGCTAAGTCCCTGATTCACTACAGGTGAAAAAACAAGTCATTCCAGACACCTTTGTCTGTCAAGAAAAGAGGGCGGTGATTCCCTCTAGTGGGGAATGCCCCGAGCCCTTCTCTGAAATGGCTTTTATTGAGAATTATATGTGCAGGGGTATACAGCATATGTGCAGAGTTTATCAGTCCACATCAGAGCTATAGATAACAATAAGACACATACAAAAATCAGCCTTGGGATAGGGTCTGTCAGACATACTGATGCTAGATGATTATTAAGCCAAGGTTCAGGGGCTCAGGAATATTTTCTCATGCTTTGAGACTAAACACTTGACTTTTTTCTTATCAGGGCAGTGCGACACAGAGCAAGCTTCAGTAAATATAACGCATTCCTTAGGCCAGATATCCCAGGGTATCCTTCGTGCCATTATAGGGTCCTGTCTGCCATCCGGCATCTCCGGTTTTCTGGTCCTTTCAAGGTCTGGCTCGCAAGGGGCTACAATTCCCAATACCACACGAACTGGTCTCCAACACTGAGCAGCTCATTATTTCAGATGTTTTATTCATCACTTGACGCTTACGCCTGTGTTTTTATTTTGACTTATTTGTATGTTGCTTTTTATGTCTCATGCGTGTGCTATCAGGTGTGTGTAAAGAACTGCCACACACGGTATCAAAAAGCAGAAAGTACCTGAATGGATGAGGAAGGGAGAGTAAAGGAAAAGGACATCCTTGGAGTGTCTTTTCTGCAGGGTCCAGGTCTCGAAGAATTGCCCCAAGTGCCAGGGGTGGGGCTGCTCAAGTGAAGAAAACCCCTCCACCTGCTGCAGCCCAGGGGCCTTTCCAGAAAGTCTCCCTCCCTGGAAGCTGACTCTCTTGAGTGCCCTGCTTAGCCTGCAGCTCTTCGTGGAGTGTTAGTAGGAAGCCAGTGCATGACTGCCCGTCTGCTGCCCTAACAAGGGAAGGGCAAACTTGGGCTCAGTGTTTATGTTTCTTCTCTACTCCCAGGTACAGAAGTCAGGCAGGTTTAGTTGATTGAATGATGATTGAACTATTTTTTTTTTAAAGTTCTAATTGGTTTCTACCTTTGCCTAAGGGTCAACAAAAAAAAATAACTCCAGCCTTAACCAGGAGATGAAGATCTGGAAGACACACAAGTCAGGAGTGTTAGCCACTGCCAAGGGCAGTGCGGTGGGAAGTGCCAGCAGGGATACGACGGGGCCTGTGGGCCACGGTGAGAAATGGCGAAGACCTTGTAACCGCTGCCTCTTCCAGACCTCTGCCAGGCTGCTCAGAGCCCCGTTCTTCCTGCGTGGAGCCGGAGAGTGAGCTACTCAAGGTATGGGAAAGCCCTCGCCAGGCAATCCTGCTGTGAGTGAAGCGGTAGGATGGAGCCGGGTTTAGGAGCTTCCTGTTTTATGTATCCCCGATACCTGAGTCCCCTATATCAGATTTAGATAGGATCTAGAGTCCTGGAAAGCAGAGCCCGGGGCGGGGGCGGCACGCAGCCCCTCTGTTTCCAGAGTTACGATCCTGCCACCAAGCGCGGCCGAGGGACACTTTGTGAACATCCTCCGGAGACTACCTCTATCAGGGCGTCCTAAGCACGGCGGAGGCAGGGAGACCCGTGGAGAAGCTTCTGTTGGCAGCTTCTCCGGACCACCTGCACCCCCGCCACCCCGAGGCAGCCCTGCTCCAGCTGCCCCCAGGGTGGGGCTAGGGCATCTCTCCAAGCCCGCCCTGCCCTCAGACACTTGGCTACATTCTGGGATTCCCAGCCCTAGGACAGCGGGTTGCCCTAGGGACTCCGAAGAGAGGAAGGAGGGACTGGCACGTCGTCGAGAGAAGCTGGACTCCCGAGGGTTCCACTCTCATTTTACTCCCCTGAAAAATAGAGCTCCAAGCAGGGGCGCCGAAGGGGGCTGTGGCACAAGGAGGGACCGGGGTAGTGAGACCTGGATCGCCCGCTGTACTCAAGAGTCTCAATCCACCTCCCCGCCCGCCCAGTCGGTGCCAAGATGCGGGCTGTGCGTGTGTCCTCTTTAGGGGTGCGGAGATCGGGCGCGCAGCGCGTCATGAAAGCTACTGACCTCTTGGTGGCCGCTGCCGGCGTGGCCCTTCTTCTAGGACCCAAGGTCTGCGGCAGCAGCGCAAGCCCTGGCGGGGTCATCGGGACGACGTCGGGCGGCACCACCCAGCCCAGCCGAGAGCCACCCTTCTCCGTCTTCATGGTGCTGGTGGTGACGCTGCCGGTCCTGCTGATTGAGGCCACTTTTCTGTGGAACCTCTTCCGTGGTGTGGTCACCATCCTGCGCGTCCGTGCTTTTCACCGTGTGCCGCATAACTTGGTGGCTCCGAAGGCCGTGTCAGACGTGTTAGCCTGATGCCGCTGAGCCTGGTGAGCGAGATGCCGGACGGGCGACGTTGGCGGCTGGGCCGGAGCCCGTGACACGTGTGGATTTTCTTCGACATGCTGCGCCGCACTGCCAGCACCTGGAATGTGGCAGCCATCACCCTGGCCCGCTCCTGGACTGTCACGCGCCACCTGCAGTACGAGCTGCGCAGCCGTCGCCGCGCGCTTCTCCGCTGTCGATCGCGTTCACCTGGGCGTTCTCCGCACTCATCGCCCTGGCGCCGCTACTCTTCGGCTGCGGCGAGGCCTGCGACGCTGGGCTCCAGCGCTCCCAGGTGAGCCAGGAACCTTCCTACGCCGTCTTTTCAACCCGCGGTGACTTCTACCTGCCGCTTGGAGTGGTGCTGTTTGTCTATTGGAAGATCTACAAGCGACCAAGTTTCGCTTCAGCCGCCGCCTCAGGGCTGTCTGTGCTAGCCGGGCCGGCTCAGGTGCAGGTGAGAGGCGGGCTGCGCTGGGGGTGGGAGGGTGCGGTGGGGGAGGTCTGGGGGAAGAGGACGCTGGGCGAAAGGGAGAGTTGGCGGCGGCAGCAGCTTGCGCGCATTGAGCGCGGCAGAAAGGTTGGCCACTGCGCACCTGGAGCGCACGCGGAATTCGCCATCTGTTCGCCTAAAGAGTACCCGAATTGGGCGGGGCGGGGAGGGGGCTCATACCCGCACTCGGCGCGCAGGCGAATGGTTCGCCCCTGTGCGCTGCGGCAAAGGTTTCCAGCACCTGCACATCAGGGCTGTTGCTAGCTCTGCCGAGCCACGCGGCAGAAGCCGGATTGCAAGGGCGGCGTGCCCAGGTAGTAATGAGAGCATGTCTGATCCGCTGTGCCCTCTGTTGCTTTTCCCTTAGAGCGAGCTATTGAGTCCGCCTGAATCCTGCTGCCGCCAACTTCCTGGTCCCGGCCGGGCGGAGCGTGGGCGGGGGGCGGTGAGGGGGTAGCGGGAGGGCTGGGAATTCGCCCCGCAGATGAGTGAATTCTTGCGACCTTTCACCCCTTATTTTCTGCCCATCCTCTCCAGTCCAGAGACTGGACTATATTCCCTAACGCTATTGGCCAGTTCCTTGCCAAGGGCGAAAGTGAGGATAAAAAATAATCCAAGTGTGACTTTCACCATCCCAGCCTCAGTGCTGTCCTCAAGTGACTTTGGCAAGAAAAGTGCCCTGAGTTTAAATCCCAGCTGGGACACTGGGGCAGTTGCCTCCTTTCTGTGGGTCTCGTTTCCTCATCTTTAAACAAGTTAACTCCTGCTTCACAGGACTGTTGGTGAGGATTACGTGAGAAAAGTGTTAGGTAGCCGAGGTGTCTAAGAAAGGACACGGAGCCAGAGAAGTCCAATGAAGGGCTTTTATTCGAGGCGGGACACTGCCATCAGGCGGGCTGGGTCTGAACAGATGGAAGCCCCACGGGAAAGGGTAGCAGAGCTTTTCAAGTGTGTAGCAGACCCCCGGGGGAGGGTGAGTCACCCTGCTCCTCTGCTCCAGGTGTCCTGGGTGTCTGACCAGGGAGGGCTGATTCTGTAGAAAGTTCAACGGAGAGGGGAGGGGGCACTGAGGATTCACCCAGTCTCCAGCGGGATGCCAGCGGCTGTGCCTCAGTTGCTTCTGATACGGGGAATCTCGTGGTCAGGTATTTAGCCGGTGACTATACCTTCTTTGTTCCAGCATAGGCGGTGGTTTAGGTCCATGTCCCAGCACGTTCTAAGAATAAAGCCTGTGAAGCTCCTAGCACAGTGCCTGGCACACGGGAGTGGGCAGAGCTGGATGGAGTAAGGGGGTAACATTGTGGCCTGACATTCTGCTGTGGGCCTGACCATCACTCTGGAGATGAATGAGATGGAGAAACCTGCATTTGGCAGAACTTGTCGGGATTGTATAAAATCGAGGCTTTTTGCCTTTTGGCCAGGCCCTAACAGATATTAACTCTGCCTGGGAGACCCAGATTTTCTTTTTCAGGGCAGGGGTGGGAGTTGTGGTGGGGGATGGGATGTGTGTGTGTGTCTCAGGTTCACAGTCTTCGATAATAACAGGACTTACTGCCCCTTTCCAAATACAATATATGGATCAGGGAAAGGGATCATGAGAGAGGTAAGAGGGGTTTTGTTGTTAGTTTTGTTTTAATTTCAGTAAGTTAACTCAGCTACTTAGAGTATACCTAAGCTACACAAATATATGTTTTAAAAGGCAGATTTTCCCCCTCCCCCACTTTTTAAATGACAAAGGGATTTTGTAGCATAAAATAGGAAAGTCGGGATTATAATTAGAAAGTGTTGTTAGGGGAGAGCTTTATTCAGAATTAATGATGTTCTTTGAAAGGTCCCTTGGAAATGCCTGGGGTGATTGTAACTTTTCTGATTGCTGAGGCAGGACTTTTAATAGCTACAGGCATCCAATGTGCACCCAGAGAAATCATGGTGAAATGGATGTCAGAAACTTGCCGAGCCTGAGCTTAGTGTTCATTTTTTGACAGACCCCATTCAGGCAGGTGATACAAAGGTGTGACTGAACAGCAGCCTAGCCAAACATCCGGGGCGGCCACTGGTAGAGGAGAAGAGCTCTGGTAGACAGGGGCACTGTTGTTATTCAGTGCTGTTATTCACTGGCAGTGGACCTGGGGCAAGCGCCTTCTCCACTTTGGGCTGCACTTTCTCTTCTCTCATACACGGTAGTGGTCTAAGTCATGGCTGAAAGTCTGAATCATATGATGCTGAGATGGCAGATGAGATGGTGTTTGGGAGCATCCTGCATCTTTAGGCACCAGCAAGCTCTCAAACTCCTGGGTAATGTTACTGAGTTTATTTAACTCTCACGTGGGATGCAGTGTGGGTCTGGTGGCCCTCCTGCATAGCTCCCTCTAGGCAGTAACTCATAGATCTGAGCCACTTGTCATTATTTTAGCTTTGACACTTCGAACATGTGGCTTCCAAGATTGCTGTGGCGATACAGTAGTCCCCTCTTATCCACGGTTTTGTTTACCTTTGCAGTTTCAGTCATCTGAGGTCAACCACAGTCTGAAAATACTGTGGAAAATTCCAGAAATAAACAATTCAGAAGTTTTAAATTGTGTGCTGTTCTTAGTAGGGTGGTCAAGTCTGGGAGTCCCCCTCATCCTTTTGCCCAGCGTCCCCATGCTGTGGATGCCTCCCGCCCATTAGTCACTTAGTAGCTGCCTCTCAGTTATCAGACTGACTGTCGCAGTACAGCAGTGCTTGTGGTCAATCACCCTGATTTTACTTAATAGTGATCCCAAAGTGCAAGTGTAGTGATGCTGGCAATTCATATTTGGCAAGGAGAAGCCGTAAGTTCTTCCTTTAAGTGAAAAGGTTAATATAATTAAGTCCGTACTTAACAACGTCAATGGGTTCTGTGACTGTTGGCGAAATGACATGTAAAGAAACCAAATTATCCACAGGCTAATTTATACAAACAAGACTTAAGTTCCTACAGCATCTCATCAGTCTTGTGATGAAACAGCATTAAAAGAAACAATGTTATTCAAGGACCTGCTGTATAGGAAAAAAACATAGTATGTAGCATGAGGTTTGGTCCTATCCTGGATCTCAGGCAGCCACTGGGATTCTTGGAACATATCCCCTTCCAATAAGGGTGGGGGGCTGCCTTAGAGAAGCTTTTAACTGCCTTGTCCCTAAAGTGGACCCATGTCACTTCCACAGTCCATTGGCCAGTCTTTGGATGTGAAATCTAGGGCAGCACTGTCTCTGCCACACAGCACTCATTTTACATTTGATGAAACTGAGGCACCACAGATAGTTCATCCAAGACCACATACAGTTGTTGGGTGGAGAAGCTGAAGTTTGTACCAGACCTAAAGTCACTGCCCTTTTCATTCGTTCTCTGTTAATCCATGCTGTCTCTGGCAACTTAACTCCTGAGCACTGTCCCAGTGCTCACAGGATCTCACCTTCGTAGGAGTGAAGCAGCCATGGGGGCAGTCTCAAAACTAGGCCCGTGAACGCTCCTTGAGGGGAGAGCTGAACACAGCCGAGCAAGAGGCACTGCCTGCTTTTCTCAGGAGGCAGGTTAATTCCTACCTAGCCGTCCTTTCATTCACCCTCCCACATGTATTCCAAAGCAACCCCCATGGGTTAGGATTGTTTTCTACTGCCCTGTGTCCTTCTCTGGTTAGAAGAGGAAAAAAAGCCAACTCAATAGAGATTATTTATTTGGCTTTCAAAATAGGACTTCAACATTTTTTTTCTTTTCAACTATTTGTTTGATTGCTGTGCCAAAGTTGATACCAGAATCTACTTATTCCTTAGGCACAGTAGACCCATGATACTTTTAGGAGCTCAAGGAAATGGTATAATTTTTTTTTTAATTAGAAGAAAAATAAATGTGATACTAATGAATATGTAAAAATGAACCAGCCTTGCTTATATTAGTCTTTATAATAACATGGTCATAAAACACAATGTTTATTTTTTAATGGAAGAAGCGGCCCACAGGGTCAAGACGCCTAGGCTCCTGAAGGGCATCACGCAGCCTGGTTGACAGTCTTCATTCATTCTCTTAGCCAAAAAACGTGTTGGGAGACAGTGTGCACACTGGTGAAGAACATGGGATTTAGAAATGAGGAGACCTGGATTCAATTGTTTCTGTGCCTCTTATTAGTACTTTAGCGAAGTGACAATCTAAGTCTGCATTTCCCCATTATTTTTATGATTTAAAAAAATTCCAGTCAATAAATTATTACTGTATTCCTCTTACTGCTGTTACCATCATAGCAGTATTACTTATTCATTGCTTGTGTAATAGATTACCCCAAAGCTTCATGGCTTAAAACAACAAACACGTTTTAACTCACAGTTCTGTGGGTCAGGGCATTGAGAATGGCATAGCTAGGTTGTGGCCCAAAGCCTCTTGTGGTCAGATGGGGCAGCAGCCTCTCCAAGGCTCGACTGGGGCTGTAGACTGCTTCCAAAGTGGCTCAGTCACGCAGTTGGTGGCAGGAGGTCTCCCCAGGGCTGCTTGAGGGTCATCACAATATAGCAGCGAGCTTCCCCCAATCCAAGAGACTGAAGCAGGACACTTGCAGTGTCTCTCATGACCTAGTCTCAGAAGTTACATATGATCACTTCCCTCTATTCTATTCATTGGAAGTGGATCGCTACTGTCTACCCACTTTCAGGGGAAGGAGAATTAGGCTCCACCTTTGGGAGAAGTGTCAATGAACTTGTGGACAGATTTTAATACCACAATGAGACATGCAGATGGTGTTCAAAATGACATGACTGACTTTTACTGACCTATGTATCAAGCAACGTGGTAGCCTCAGTTTATCAAAGAATGAGCAAGGAGTCTGCTCTCCAGGGATTAATTTTAGTAGACCATAATTATAGAATTATAAATGCAATAAAGTCTTGATAGGTACTGTGTTAGATGTCTGTCCAGAGTACAGTGGTGCTGAAAGACTAAATAGTGAACAGGA